CTACATATGTACATAAGAGATGTTGTTTCTTTCATGATGTATACCATGTTATATACAATATCAAATAAAGAAATGATACTTACCTATGTGGGGAAACCCCCCCAAAAAAAAAACATATAGGCCCCCCTCGGTCTTGAAAATTTCCTTTTTAGGAAATTTTTGAGTTGTTTACTTCTCTTTGTCTTTCCTTTTCTCTTTCTCTTTATTTCCCCTTCCCCACTCCTGTTTATTTCTCTTTCCTTATGTTTTTCCCTCTCTTCTTTATACTTTTTTTATTTATATTCTCTTTCCCTTCTCTTATCTTTTTCCTTGTCAAAGTTAGGTTTTTCCTTTTTATCTGAAGGTTTTTCTCTCTAGGCCTCTCTTTCTCTTGAAAAATCCACTCTTCATAGCATCAATCCTCTGACCAGTTGGTTTTCTTTTCTCAAGGGTCATATCAAGAAGTGATAACTTTTCTTAAGGCATGGGCTTCAGGAAATTTCTCTTTTTCATGGTTTTTTAGAAAAAGAATAGACAGTTTACCTCCTCCAAAAGATCAACATGGTCATTATTACCAAATCTGGTGTTGTTTACTGAGTGATGGCTTTTTTAGACTGGATACATCTAAGAAATTGGTGTACAACTATTATTATCTGAAAGTACCCAAGGAGTTGCGCCCCACTATTTCCAGAGTGATGTTATAAATTAAAATTTATTAATCTAATAAAATACAATTTATATCAATATTGATATAAATCAATTATAAACAATATTTTATTTTTGATATTAATCAATAGAAAATAATATTATTAATGTATATTAGTTAATTATAATAAGTGATTATAGATTAATTATTAATAAATAACTTTTTAAAAATTTTTCTTATAAAATATTTAGTTTTAGTTTAATATTTATAGGTAAAGTTCCAAATCAAATACTAAAATAGTATCAACTTAATACTGACTTATAATAAATTTAATATATGAATTGTGACCTTCTATATTAAACTTATAATAAATCTAGTACTGACTTGATATTTTATCTATAGAGAACAAATTATATAAATTTTATCCTTTATAATAAATTTACTAGTTTTTTTATATATGTTATACTTAAATATTCAAATCATTTTCAAATTTAGTTAGGCTGCATAAAGATATGATCTCTAGTTTTTTTGATAATTACAAGCCTAAAACATGTCAAAGCAAAAAATTTGCACCAAAAATTTTTTTGATCTAATTTTTATTATAAGTTCATATTTTCTTTTGACATGACAGATTCTATAGCAAAAATATATTAATTTGATCAAAGTAACTTTAAAGAGAATTATTGTATAAATACTAATATATAAATAATATGATGACAACTTTTAGGAGTTGTACTTTGCTTAACAATCATATCTTTAGATTTGATAGCTTAAGCTAATTAAGAGCTTTTAGAATGTTTATTAGGAAATTTAAGGGTTCTGTTTATTTGATTATTTAATCTTCAGATTTAATAGTATATATCAACTATAAAAATAAACTCTTGAAGTATTTATCAAAAGTATAAAGAAGTAAGTTTATAAAGGTATATATATTACTGAAATTTATAAATTCTTGATGCAATTGAAACAATTATTTAATGCAATTAATTGAGTTATAATACAATTATTTTTAAGAATTTTAAAAATTGAGTTAATAGTAAAATAATTTATGCCACACATATATATAGAGGTATTATAACTGTATAAGTTGAAGATATGAATATGATAAGAAATCTAATAATGATTAATATATTAAATTAAGATTAGACTTTTATATAAGTATAAATCAAAGTATAGATATATTTATAAAGTATAAGTTAATATTCTGATAAAAAGAACAGATAGTGTTAGTTAATATTAGTAAAAGTTAATAAAACTGTTTATATATTGGATATTTATAATTTTTATTATTAAACAATAAAATTCAGGTATATATTACACTTTGACTTTTTTTAAAAAATAATATATTAGAATAAATAAAACAACAATAGGTTGTATTTTTTGTAAAGTAAAATAATTACTTTTGCTAAAAGCATAAGCTATCAACTCTAATTAGAGTAATTTGATGATTATACTTTTATTACATCCCATAACTTGCTAGAAAAATTATAATAAATGTCTCAAGTAATTTTTTTATTAATACAAATAATAACATTAAATAAGAAAAGATATTTGCTATACTAAATAAATTTATAAAAATAAATATACTCTTAACAAATCAAATACAATATCAACATCATTAAAAAAAATAGTTGATATGTTATTTTATATGTTGAAAGGCTTAATTTGTTTGTAACTGTATGCATGTTTCCACTTAAACCTTCTATTTTTGCATTTGTAAACCTCTTGCAACAACTTTTTCATAGGTAGTGCTTACTTTGACATAGTATTTTATTTTCACTTATTGATTATATTTATAGTTTCAAAAATTGAAATTGAACAGAATCGCAGAGAATCATATGAGATTTAGAACATTATTAAAAATGATAGTGAGGTATACCCCACCTATTAAATTTAATATAAACTTGAGAATTGAATACAGAATCAAAAAGAATCATTAGAATCCTTAATTATGTTTGTGTTTATTATAATTATTTGTAAAAGATAGATTAAGAAAAAAAAGCTTGCAGTATATTACTGATAAGCAGGAGAAATCAAAAGCAACACTACTAAACGAGTTGATAGAATTATACAATTCTAGAGCAAATCTTGCATAAGAAGAATAACATTCACTTTTGCAAAAAAGAAAAAAAGAAAGAAATATGGAAAAAACATAATTGTTATATATGATCTGTGATAGGATGCATGAAATATGTAATCTTCCAACTAACCAGCATGCAAATCCATGATTTTGTTACGTTTCATAAGAAATAGTACGATTTTTTATTCATGGTTTTATTACATATGGCAAAATATGTCATTATCTGGTTTTCCACTCACAAGGGCACAGTAATGTGGCGCAGTAGATTTTAGAGTCGAAAATTTTATTCAGTTATCTTCACAAAGCTTTGGTTACAGCAATAACATAAGATTATTTAGGTTACATCATTAAGTCATCCGAAACTAACAACTCAAAAAAATCTTTCGAGTTCTTGAATTAATTTGTCGTAATCTAAGTCCTCTATTGCTTGATAAACGTCATTCCACACGTCCGACTTACTACAGTCTTTCCAAAAATTTAACATCATTTGTGCTCGTTTCCCGATGTCATCATCTCTGTCAAAGGCAAC